CCGTTAAGCCATGTGAAAGCAACGCGCGCTAAACTTTTGTCACAGTGGGCTTGAGCACGAGCAGTAACCGGGTCAACAGTGCAAAAGTACTGAAACGCATTATGCAAAATAACACTAATATAACCCTTCTATGAGACAATTTATTCCCCTCCAGTTCCTTCAGAGGATCCCCACACGCAGGGGTACAACCCTAGGGGTANNCTAGGGGTACAAGCCTGAAACCTTCAAAAGTCTTGCTGAAATCTTCTCACTGAAGCAAATTCCTGCCAAGCATTGATTGATATTGATTGCTATTACTTGAACTGAGTACAGAAGCTATCATTGCCACACCCAGTTCGGGGCATCCATGCAAAGTCATCGCCATTGAAGAAGGAGTCCCTTTGCACTTGTGCATAGCACTCGTACGTCCGGAATAGCAGCTCCAGACATTCTAGAATACATGCGGGCTGAACTGGATAAATAGCTACAATGCAACAATGAAGCTTGCACAACAGCCGAGATCGTGAATTGTATGTAATTTGTGTGTCTCACAAAAACAGAAAGGTAGAACCCTGGTGCGAGTTGTCGCAGCGCTGAACACTTTTTTAGACAGCAGCGCTGCTGAGTCGAAACTTCGCGGTACCTATGCCAAGTAAGCAGTTGTCCGCTATGCCACCGTCGCCGTGGCGGGAGGCACGAAGAGGGGCCGCTCAAGCCAAAACCAAGCGGCAAGTGTTGGTTGGCCCGGGGAATTCTTTGTCCTGTATCTTTGGGCAGCCGACAAGTTAAACCAACATCTGAAGCGTTGTGGCAGGAGTTTGCTGAATAGCTCGGGAATCGAGAAACATGTCTCGAAGTTGCAGAGCTGGTCCAGCAGCACTGAACCATCTTGATCATTGGGGGTACCTGCTTGCGTACCACATGGACAGCCCCTGGAATTGTTGCTGGAAAAGTAGGTCGGGCATCAAGGGCAGAAGCATCAAGGCATGTCACAAGCACTTGGATGGGTGCAAGTTTGCAAATCAGAGATCTCGGCAGCCTTGGTGTTGGGACTCATTGCGTTCCACTCACCCCTGACGCGGGGAAGCCTAGTGAAGCTAGCGGGAACGGCATCTGTGAACTCAGTGAACACTGCAGCACAGCTTTTCTCGCAGGCAGTGACCGCAATCATATGTTGCAGTGTACTTAAAGTTCAGAAATATCTTCAGTAAGACAAATGCTTGGTGCAAGGCCCAGCTCCGGCAAACTTGATCAGGCTAATGCCAGTCCTGGGATCCGATGCATGGTGCTGCTGCTGGTGGGGAATGCAGATCATGGCTTGGCCTTGATTTCAATAACGCAAGTAGATGTGACACATCTACCCTGCTCTGTGAGCTTCGACCTCAACCTGGTTACGCCGGCATCCTCCACCATCTCAGCTAAGCTAGGAAGAGGGCATCCAGATCCTTTGGCAGAATCTGGGTTGCGCTGAGGATGTGTGAGAAAAACTACTTTTTGGCATCAGGCCTTGCTGTTGCAGGGAGGGTTCAACTGAGGGAAAGCTGCGAGTGGTCGCTTTTTAGGAGGCCAGGTAGCATGGGCTGAAGAAGCACGGCATGCAAGTCGGAGGTCTTGGCAGTTGAGGTGGTAGGATTCATGGCATTCCACTGACTCCTGATGCGGAGAAGCCAGGCGAAACTAGTAAGAACCACACGCCGGAACTCGAAAAACACTGCAGGACAGACCTTTTCTCAAGCAGTGGCTGCAACCTGAAATAAATTGCAGCATTCATGCATTGATAAATTAACTTCAGAAGCATGAATGCCCTGCAGGCCGCTGCCAATATGTGAATCCAATGCATGATGGCAGCACGCAGCTCGAACGCAGGCACTTGTATGACATCTGTCCTTCTTTGCAGGGCCTTGGAAGCTCCCAATTCAACACGGTCACGGCTGCGTCCTCCACTATCTCAGCTATGAGTGCCCTCAATTCAGGGAGGGCTGGCATGGGAACAGGTTATCACAACATCTCGGAAGGGTCTATGAGGTTGCTGTTGCGCACTTCACTGGAATTGAACTTGCCTTACACTGGCCTCCCAGATCTCGTTAACACGGCTGTCGCCGCATGGACATTATTTTCTGATGCTCTGTCACAACGCAAGGCAACTTGATGACACGATGGTTTCACCAGCCAGCGGCGAGTGCGGCATGTGTTGGCAGCGAATTACGACAATGTCCACGGCGTTATACAAGGACTTAGGATCAAGGCGCTAGGCGCTGCGCGACGTCAGCTTGACCTTAGCACCGTCCCTTGCAAACGCGTGGCATCAAGTTGCAAGTTACCCGGAATACAGGTGGGCATGCTGTCAGCAAGACCCGTGCAGCTGCCAACCTCCTTTGTCTCAAGCCTGTGGCACTGGCAAACGGCCCAATGGGCTCCTTGCAAGGCAATGGCTGTGCGAAAACCGACTGCCCCTGCAAGATCAAAACAAAAAACAATGAAGAGGACGTGATTGATGTGATCAGAAAGCTGCACGCTGGCCAGCTCCTGATCAAGCAGCACAACTCCAGCGGCTGGATAGGCACCTGCACGTGTTGCACCGGGGCCCACTCTGCCTGAGCAACATGCGGCGTAGTTTACTTCGGCAGCGGCCTTCCTTGATCGCCAAGTACGTTGTTCCGCAATGTTGGATTACGCAAGGGGAGGACAGTCAGGACAGTTACATACCATACATGCCTGCATTGCTCTGGCTTAGAAGATGGGATCGGCAAAATGGAAAAATTCCCTCTGCTGCGCTTAACCCAAGTGCGGTGGCACACGGCAAGCCCTAGCTTTAAACCAACCGGATCACAGCACGTCTCTGGGGAACAGTCGTGCTTGCAGCAGCGTTGTACAAACAGCGGTTGACGCGGCGGCATGCTTGGCATTCTTTCTTGGGTCGGCAGTTCTGAAATTGCAACAAACTCTGATGACAGTGCGTTTAGCTAGACTATCGAGCCCTCCGGCCCCACAAGCACATATTGCAGGAAGCAGCAGCCGAACTGAGTCATCCATTTTGTGGTGCTGGACGTGTCTGCAGCGGCAGACACTGAGACCTACCTTCACACCAACCTCATTACAGCACATCTCTGGGTGAGAGCTCTGCTGGAGACGACGCTGTGCAAAGGGTGGTCGACATAGCTCGCCCCAACTTCTGACTTGCGACAGGACTTTCGCCTTGTGGCTGATGGCAATGACACCGGCAGCTGCAGCAAACTCGAATGACAATGCGTTTAGCTAGAATAGCGAGCGCTCCGGCAGAAAACCACAGCTGAGGCAGCTGCCGCGAAACTGAGGCTTTCACCCTTCACGGCGGATGTACGCACAGCGGCGGAGAGTCAGACCTACTTTCAGGAGCATGATCACAGCACATCTTGGGGCGTCAGCCCATACAACGCTGTACCAACAGGGGTTGTCATGGCCCTCTCGTAGATGCCGCGCGCATGCTCCTTGCTAAATGTTTGCACCCAGCCGGCCCAACCTGCCTGACAACACCACTGGACGATGCCAGGAGGACAATGCTAAAACTTTAACCGTGGCTGCGGTCCGGACATAAACACGGGACATGCTGACAGTGCAAGGCTGAGCAGGCAGCGCAAGTGGCAGCAAGGAAGCAGAGCTCTGCAAATTTCGGGACCTAGGCCATGTGTAGCAGCAGCACATGAGACCTAACTTAACACCATCATCGTCAAAGTAGCTCCTGAGACAAGGTCAATGTAAAACAATGTGTTGGACGGGCTGCACAGGCGCAGCTCCTTTCGGAGCTGCAGGGGCCTCGAGGAACGTCGGAGTAGCTGGGTACAGGCATTTCCCCTTGTGACTACCTAGCCTGGGCAGCGGATGCTCGACGACATGCAAGGAGGCAGCCGGCGGCAAAGGTGGCAATACAGGATCAGACACACCAAACATTGTAGACCAGTAGCCACGGCTTTGGATTCTTCATGGACTTGAAGACTGCATGGATGCCCCGAGGCAACAAGGGCTGTGTGGGAGAGTCTGACTTTGCCAATACTCAGGCCACAGAGTGGCCTTGGCGGTTAGCACTCAGTTGACTTGCACTGTTGATCTTGCTGGAGTCTTTGTGTAAGCTGGTTGTCCGACACTAGGTGCTTTGGAGGAGCAGCAACAAGCCGCGTTCAAGCACAAGTTGCTCTATAGCCGAAATGTGCAGATGGACATCTCTGGCAGCAAACTTCTAAGCTAACATTATTGCCCAACCCAGGGAGGTCAACTGTCGACCTGCTATTTGGGCAAGCGCCGCACTGTATGCCTTCGAGATGCAAGTGAATGGGACGTGACCAGCTGAGCGCTGACCCAACAAACACATGCTGTTGAGGCAGACGCTCACGCGGATCGGTGTGAGGCTTGGGACAACATGGCAAACTCCTTCGGAGTTCTCTGAGATCTGCTTAGTAGAGCCTGTCTGAGAAGTCTTGCAGGGCACCATGGCATTATAACAGTATGGGCCGTGAGAAATGCCTTGCACAGGGTTAAGTGACAGTGGGGGCTAGGGGCATAGTAGGTGGTTGGGGAGTGGAAGGAGACGGCAGCCACTAAACAACCTGGCAAGAGTTTGAACCTTTGTTGCTATAAGAGGTCCGCTTTGTTTAGGCTTGCGAAGGCTCGGTGAC